TGTACAGTGAAGATAATCGGCCAGAAGTTTATATACCCGCGTCTTTTATAGTTTTCCCGCCCATTTAAGCGAAAAATAAATGTCAAATATCCAAAAAACCGCGGGTTTGGGTCGGGTCGTCGGGCTGCTACGTGGCGTAAATTTAATGGTGGCCGAACCTATAAAACCATTCGGTTAGAGGACGTAATAATTGTTCCTATCATTCATATACAACTTTAATATCAACTATATCACTCATATCATTCTATAAATTTTAATATTTCATTCCATGCACCCATATTTATTTTATGGGTGGTAGACATATAATATTAATGTTTTGGGCGTTAGATGCGTAAAAAGTGGTATGTATGTAAATCTCCCTCTTTGAAATTTGGGTTGTGTTATTGGAAATTAAAGTAATTGAGCATTAGTTTTGTAAATATACAAATTTAGGATGTTATACTTGTAATTTCCCCAAAATAAAATAATATAGAACGTAGTTGACAAGGAACAGTTCATATATACCTGTGGCTCAATATTTGGTTCTCCAGTCCCATCACACTCTGCATGAAGATTAAAGGTGCAGAATTTTAGCTTTGAAAGATAAAGCTAATGGCAAGTTTTGAAGTTAAATGTTAAAGAAGATATATACTGAATTTGAGTTGCAAAGTTCATCATAAACCTGAGCACATTAATCGGCCTTCTCCACGACAAGTGAGGCACCGAGTGGAAGATGAAGCCTTACTGGCTTCAGAAGGTTTATTTCTTCCCTGAAGCCTAGATGGTTCTTCCCACCGATTCTCTCCAAGTAGAAACACACGGTGTTGGGATATCCCTATTTCTGTATCACCAGCATCTTTGATCAATGTTTCCTGTATCTCTGCAAACTTCCTTACTGAAGCAATAGGTGCTCCATTGGTGCCGTCCTATGAGAAAACCAGATATAAATCACATAAACGAAGGCTAACTAATATGGGTTGATGTTTGCAAACTCAATAAGCTGAACCAAATAAAGTTCTGGCTAGTAAAAGTTTGATCCATTGATAAAACTTATTAAAGAGGATTTGGTATTAATGTAAAGCAAAATTAGAAGGGCAGGCGGATAAGCAGAAAAAAAATTTAAACAGTATGATGGGATTGGAAATTGGAGGACTGAAGCTTTGATACAATTGCTATCAGGTTGTTAATGCAGTAGAATATCGGGCAAACAATGAAATGATTGTATTCACACTTACAGGAAATCATAGTTTTGTATGTTCTGACAGTCGGAAATAATTATATCGCAAAAGCAAGGATAAAAAAGTAAAAATATTGCCCCAAAAATATTAACACACAAGACCCAAAAACTTACATGGGGATTAGTGAAGTGTGAGGGATTATTCTGTGCAGACACCGGACACAGAATACCATCTAGAGGCGAATCAGATGCATCCACGTCATCCAGTACCGAACAATACCGAGCTCGGTACCGAACAGTACCGAGCCGCGGTACCGAGTAGGGGGTGACGTGGTGCATTTTTATTGGGCTCTGGGTGGCGTTCGGCGTCCGCACAGAATAATTCCTCCTCATCTACATTCATGTTGGTATATAAAAACTTTTCAAACTAATATGAGAAAGTTTGTCACAATTTTATGTTCCAAACAATCTTCTAAGTTTTAGGAGAAGGGCAATAAATGGCCCAATGGCTTAGAAGAAACTGGGAGGAATTGATATGAAAAGAAAATAGATTTATATTCCTAGTAACAGCACTAGTAATATTCCAAAAGTTAGAAAATGATAACGGTGCTAAATTGCCTGGTGTAGGGATAGGGAAAGTGTTATTGCTCGAATGGACTTGTTAATGATGTAAAATCTGCATGGTTTGACTGTCACCGCTAGTTTTTGCCAAATTAACATCAGGATAAGAGAAATAGAAGTGTATTAAAATAGGATTTTGAAGAGAAAATGACTACTACCACGTCAGTTGACTGAGAAGGAAATGCTTGTTCAAGCTTATCTACTTCCAGAAATCAACTTTGGAATAGCAACGAAGATACATAAAAACAAAGTATTAAGTATTACGCATAATTAGGTAAGAGGGTGAATATTTTTACGATTGGCATAATGGCATGCAAAACTTATGCGTCAAAATTATGAGATTTTATTATCAATGACTTTAAATTCAGTTTTTGGTGGATCTATAAACAGTGTGGATATCGATCTTAGATGTCGCTTTGATTGTATAAGCTGTTAACATAAGTTTAAATTGGTGAAGTCACCACATCTATTCAATATACATCCAAATGTGGATCTCTCATTCGTGATATTTGGATTTTGGAATCATGAAAATTGTCGCATAAAAACCTTAACCTGATGGCAGAAGAGGTTCAATATCCAAGCATATTGATAGATCCACCCCATGTATATTTTACAACCAAATATTATAAGTAGTACTTTATTTTAATTTTTGACATTTAATCTTAAATCTAATTTTAATATGTTCAAAAAAATAAGTTAACGGTGTGATAGGAAATACTTGTAGATCTCAAATATTTCTATCAATAGAGACAAAATCAGCGAACAAACTCCCAAAATCTGAGGGAATATCACACCAAATAGTAGTTATATTGCAAGAATCAAACGAACAGAAAGAAGAATCAAAGCAAGATACAATTGATCCTCAATTCAAGATGAAGATGTTCTCTCTCAATCCCTAGACGATGAATCTGATAGGAAATACTTTTGTCACAAGTAATCCTATCCCAAATCAGTAAAAACCAATAGTAAAACTGCTGTCCACAGCGAGAAACGAGCAAGAAACAGGGAGAAATTGTGAGAAAACACAAGTAAAGACTTGTATTCCACTAGGTGCAAAGCAAGATAATCAAGATACAATTGTTCTTCGATCCGAGAGGAAGAACGTACTCTCCACAATCTCCGGCGATGCCAAGAGCCCAAAACGAAACCTAGATCTCAAACGAAAATTCCAAATTCAAGATGAGGAGCCAATCCCCCCAAAACTCCTAATTATACAAATTAATTATAACGGACAATAATAGACTTCCTAAAACATCCTCTCATTCAAAAATTTTCCCTCCCCCCATGCGTTTTAGCCGCTGTCTGGGCTCAGCGGATCCCGCTCCTGCGCGCGTTCCGCCTGGTTCCGCCCGACTTTGGGCCGTCGGGTGTAGAACCGGACCGGTCCAGCTGGGACCGGTCTAGGCGTAACAGAATCTAGAGCCCAAAACACACCATAGAACTCCAAGAGAATACAATAATCAACATAACCCTAACCCTAACATCTCATGCCTATTTAATAAATTAATTTCTAATTCAAAAACTCCCTCCCATGCATTAGCCACCCCCCTGCACCCCCCTTGCTATTTTTAGATCAATTCAATTTGTGGACCCCATTGTTTGGGCGGTAACAATATAGGAGACGATATTATTCCACCTCCAATAGTACCGAACTGACCCAGCAAGGGCCGGTTCCACCTGAATCCAAATGCCATTGCTCCAATCTTTTCATGTACCTCATAAGGTCCAAAGTACCTTGGGGCAAGCTTCTCATTTCTCCTGTTGGCGACAGTTTTTTGCCTATATGGTCAGAGCTTTAAGAACACCTTCTCCCCTACTTCAAAATGAATGTCCTTCGTATGCCCATATTCTTGTTTTTTTATAATTTGTTAAGCTCTCAATAGATGCCTTTTCAACTCTTCCAACACTCTATCCCTCTCCTCCAAATACTCCACTGAAAAAATTAGCGTTGTTATGCCCAAAGTACACTAGGTGAGGTGGATCCCTTCCATACAACACCTTGAAGGGTGCCATTTGAGAAGCCGAATGATAAGAGGTGTTGTACAATACTCCGCCCATGCTAGCCACTTGGCCCATAACTTGGGTTTCTCCGACACAAAACATCTGAGGTGGGTCTCCAAGCTCCTGTTGACCACTTCTGTTTGGACATCTGTCCGTGGGTGATAGGCGGTGCTCCTCTTCAACACTGTCCCTTATAGTCTGAATAACTCCCTCTAAAAGTGGCTGAGAAACACCTTATCTCTGTTAGATACTATAGTCTCTAGTATTCCAATGTAGCCTGACCACCTCTCTGATGAACACTGATACCATTGTCATTGCGGTATATAGATGGCGTAGGGGAATGAAATGGGCATACTTGCTCAAGTGATCTACCACCACTAAGATCCTATGTTGCACCGATACTCCTATTTATGAAGGCGTGCTGTATCCGATACACCGATACACGGATACGCCTCCGATACGCCACCGATACGTGTCGGATACGCAAAGCCGTATCCAATTAAAATACTATTTAATTTCAAAAGGGCACGCGTATCTGATATACGTGTCCGTTGAAAAAAAAAAGATGTGTTGTATTTACTTCCACGACTGCGAGCAAGGTTCTCTCATTTCTGAGATGGATTTGAGTCTCTTAATGATATGAGAATATTAGAAATTAATAATCTTTCACTTGATAAGCCTGAATTAGAAGCTATGGATATGTATTTGAAGATGATATAGAAGTTCAAAGAAAAACCACTGAAGAAGCTAATCATATCATTCCTTCTATTGAATAGTTGAAACTTCATGTGCTAGACAATTTATGTTTATGCTTTTGTTGTTGTACTAGACATTTAATACTTATATTTTAATATGATAAACTAAAGGCTACAAATGATGTTGTTGTCATTTTTTTTTTGTAATTTCAAATATTATGCTTTGATTGCTTTCTTAATTTTTATGTATGATTTATAAACTATAATGCCGTGTCCGCGTCGTACCCGTATCCTATTTTTTTAAGAATTGACGTGTCCCGTGTCCGTATCGTGTCGTATCTGTGTCGCCGTATCCGTATTGGTGCAACATAGCTAAGATCACTATGAGCCATTCTGATCGGGAAAGCCCTTCTATGAAATCCATGGAGATCTCCTCCCATACCCGACATGGTAAAGCCATCGACTACAGTGATCCTCCTGGAGACATGGCCAAATACTTGTTTCTCTGGCATACCTCGCATTTGGCTACCATCTCCTCAACATCCTTATGCATCCCCTTCCAGTACAGCTCTGAAGCTAACCTCCTGTATGTCTTTTGCACCCCTAAATGATCCCCAACAGCGTTCCCATGCAACTACTGAAAAAAGTGTGGAATGTGAACTGATGTTCGGGGCACACAAACCTCCCTTTATACAACCGTCTGTCCCCCTCCAATGAGTATCCCGGATGGCTACTCTCTTCCCTCAATAAATCGGCCCCGGTCTTTCCCAATTCCTCATCCCTGGCACTCTCCTCCTTGATGTCCTCCCAATCTAACATCAAAGGAATTGATACTTGCATAGCCTGCAACTCCCCCATACACCTGGACAAGGCATCTGTCGCCTTATTCTCTACTCCTGACTTGTATTGAATTTCAAAATCATACTCAACAATTTGAACAACCACCTCTAATGCTCCTCTGTCACTAACCTCTTCTCCAACAAATACTTCAGGCTCCGCTGGTCTGTTCTGACAATGAAATGTCTACCTAGCAAGTAGGGCCGCCACTTTTGGATGACTAAGACGATTTCCATCAACTCCCACTCATATACTGATTTCAGACTTGCTCAAGCATTCAATACCTGGTTGAAATAGATAATGGGTCGACGATTCTGCATGAGCATTGCCCCAAGCTCATACTGAAGCATCTGTCTCCACTATGAAGACCTGAGTGAAGTCTGGCAAAGCTAAGATTGATACAGTAGTCATAGCCTTCTTCAAACTCTCAAAATTTCTTGTGGCCTCCTCCCCCATAGGAACCCATCATTCTTCAACTGCTCTGTTAGTGGCCATGCTATGGTACTGTACTCTTTCACAAATCTCCTATAGCATCCTGTCAGTCCTAAGAATCCTCTCAACTCCCTTAGATTCTTAGGTAATGGTCATCTCAACA